GAACCATTTTCACAGGTCACCTAAGGCCGCTTACAGGAAGAGCCCCTTTTCTGTTTTTGTAACTTACATGTAGTCAAACTAGAGATAAGGGGGAACAATATGATGCTAAGCTGAGATGCACATGAGCCCAAATGCTAGGTTTATAAAGGCAATTTAAGAGCTAACGAATTGATTATTGATTAAAGCTGATGGCTTCACACACATGTAAGCATATAGATTCCCACTGGTGAGTCTTCTAGTTGCCCAGAAGAATACACTTCACGATTCAAAGCCTCCTTTTCTCACACCGGAGAAACACTGGTATTTATATACGTGTCCAATTTATTTCACTTAAGAATAGTCTCAGGATGCAGCCATTGATCTAGAAACGTCTCGAGCTTGTCTTTTATGGCAGAGTAGTATTCCATTATAGAAAAAACAACTCACATAGCCTTTATTCACCAGTTGATTGGCATGTGGGCTGTTTCCAAGATTTGGCTATTACAAACTGTGCTGCTATCAACATGGCAGTGCATATATCACTGGTATGATGCTTTTAATTCTTTTGGGACGATACCAAGAAGGGGACTGGCTGAGTCAAATGGGACCACCAATCCTAGTTTTTTGAGGAATCTCCACAATGATTTCCATAGTGGTTGCATCAGTCTACACTCCCACCAACAGTAGAGAAGGGTTCCTCACCAGCATTAGTTAATAGTTGTTTTTTTTTCCCATAATTTTATTGATAAATAGCAATAAGATAGTTTCAAATCAAATTGGTAGGACACTTTCAATAATTAACACATTGCATACATTCTTCCTAGTGGTTAATTGCTGTAAAAGATGCGGACATGATATCCTATTTACAAACACCATTTGGACAAATCACTCTATTCATTAAGAGAATGTAACTATCTATCTTAACCACTTTGAATGCACAGATACAAAATGGACATACATCTGTATACCCTTTTTTTGTTAAGTTCCGTTATTTGAATATTATAGGTGTGTAAACTCAGCAAAATATTCCAAAATAGTCCAGTAGCCCATAATAG